TTTATTGGTCAATATCAATTGAAGGTCTACATTGGAACATTCCAATAGTGTTACAATGTTCCAATTGCACAACACTGATGTAATGTTACATGAATTATTATTTTTTTAAAAAAATTTATTTTATGCCTCCGCTTAGTAAAATTTGGTCTCATTTTATGAGGCCACTTATAAACAAGAAAGAGCTCAATGTAATTATTGTTCACATAAATTGCTTGCTGCTGCAAATCGTTGTGAACAACACCTTAAGAAATGTACCAAAGTTTCACATCATGTACTTAATGAATATTTTCAACAAAATCAAAATATAATTATGCAATCATCACAATCTGAGAATTCTACTCCCTATACTTCCTATACTTCCTCCTCCTTCTCTTCTTCTTCTTTATCTCAAGCAACTCTTTTAATTAACACTTCAATTATTAATTTTATTGATAGAATTTCTTCTGCGGAGCAACAAGAATTTGAAATTTTATTTGCAACTGCTATTTTTTCTTGTGGACTTCATTTTTCATTTTCTGAATTAATTATTTTATTTTAATAAAGTAATTTTTTATTTAGGTTATATTTGTTATATTTACAAAGAATAAAATTTATACTTTTAAATAAATCAGTTATAGAAAAGATCATTATGTGCATTATGCAAATTAATGTTCAAAAAGTTGCATAATGCCCATCTCTACCTATTACTAGCTTGTATATAAAAACAAATATTGGTTTTTACAAGTATAATCTGTGCTTATTATTAATATATAAAATTGTTATGCAATCATCTAGATCTTATATACATCGGAATTAATGAGAGTGAATATAATAAACAAACCTTAGTTTTTACAAGTATAATCTGTGCTTATTAATAATATTATTTATTAAATATGTAAATAAAAGTCCTTCTAAATCGTTATACTTGATGAATGTTTTATCAATTATTCATAGTTATATAGCAGTTGATTGAGCAAGATCTATTAAGCTTACAAAGTGACATATTATTTATATATGTATAATTAAAACTGTTAATAAACATCAATGAAACTTTAATCAAAAATCAACAAATCTTTCTTTTCTTTAACTGACATTTTGTTAATAGCCATCCTTGAAAGAAGTCCATTACACGAATTCATTTTTGTTTGAAAATATTATATAAAGATCACCAAGTTAATAAATTTGCTTGAGGTAAAATGTTTCATTATAATACTTTTCTATAAACAAATTCTAAAATAAATATTTAAAGCTTGGAAATTAGAACTTACTATTGCATTAATTATT